GGGGGGGCAGGAGGGATGTACAGGGAGCAGTGAGAAAGAGAATTAGAGGGTAGAGTGGGTGCCTAAAACCACCAACGAAGTTGTCAAAACTGGATCGGGAACCGGCAATCTTCATCAAAACGAGAAACTTCTTTTACCTCCGGATAGAGCCACAAAGGGACTGTCTAAGCAATAGTTGGCGGGACTCCTTTGCTTTCGAGCCAATCAGATGTTTAAAGCCCCCTGTCGGGATAAGCCATGAGGCAACTCCTCCCCCAGTCAGCCTTGCGAAGGGGAAGGAGGGAGGGAGGATGCAAAAGAGATGACAGAAAAGGTGACAGCGGAGGTGGCCGCCAGTCTTTTCATCATCTTATTCCACGGAGACGAGCCGGAATAGATCGGGCGGTTAAAAGGTTGCGCGGCGTGGCGTGGCATGGGGTGGAGTGGCGCTGGAGGCGCTTGAGCTTGAGGCGGCGGGCCTGATGATGGCGTCGGTAACGACGTCGTTCCGTTGGAAAAAGGTTTAGCATACTACCAGGTTTATTGTCACCTCTCTCTCCCTGCCTACCCCTCCCCTCTCTCTTTCTTTTAACTTCTTCTTTTCTGCGTCATCCAACGGATCCCCGCCCCGGACGCGAGCGCGCCAAGTCACCCCGGCGGCAGAAAGTGCATGATATTCCGTCATAGGGAAAACGCAATGAACTGTGCGCCTAATGGTACTAAACAGACGTAAGGAAGGGAATTTGGTTAAATGTCTTAAAAACTATTAATTATTCCAAATATGCAAAGATATGTCGGGTAATTTCCCCTCGCCTCCAAGCCTTCGTGATAACCCTTTTTGAAGTTGAAGTTTCCCCGTAGTGGGGCACAAGTGCCAGCAAAAAGACTCCAACACGAGGGCGATTCAGGAAGTGGCGTGGCGGAGAGTGGCGTGGCGGGGGACTGGCGGGGCGTGGCGAGGAGTGGCGCGTCCCCAAGACTGCAAAAGCATACCGGTGGTCATTGCCCTCCCGTGGCGGGGCGTAGCTGGTATCACTCGTACATGTCACCGCGCTGCACCCAAGGACCCAGTCCGACTGGACCGGTGCCGGTGGGTGCCCCCACTCTCCCCCTCCCCCTCCTTCCCCAACGCTCTCCCCGTCCTCCCCTTCCGCTGCGTCCAAACGATGACAGGGGCGGCCAGCGCTCGTACGCGCCGTTTAGCTCCGTGGTCTCAACCGGTCCAGCAGAGAGCAGAGACACCCAGCCTCCATCCCATCTTCACTCTCCCCTCGCCTCTCTCCCCGCCCGGTCGCCCCCC